ATGATGAACAGTGAAAGAGGACAATATTAAGCTTCCAAGTAAAAGGTTTGGCATAAGAATAACAGTGTCTGTTGGTGGGTTAACTCTACAAAAGGTTTAGGATTTTAACACTGCAAAATCAGAATGATGCCATCACAACGAAGGCTGTCTTTCACTTACATTTCTTAGGTATAGCTTACCAAGATGTCATGATCCAATCAGTGAGAAATGCCCCTGTCCCAATTAAAGTGCAAACAAAACTATGTACTGAAGTCAACAACACAGATTTTATTTAACAATCATTGTGAGGTAGAAAGAAAGAAGTAGAAAAGGCAGAGGGGAAAGAGAGATATAAAGTGGAAGATAATTGCCACCCGTGAATCCAGCAGCATCCCTCCAGTCCTTGATCACCCTGGGCTTCTTGGTGGTGGGGTTCTTAATGTCTTTCAAAACTTTTCACTTACTTATTACGTATTCATTTAAGCAAACAAAGGAATGCTTATTGGCTACACTATTCTCTTATTCTATTGGTCACATGATTACCTCTCTTCTAATGACAGGTAGGAAGTTCATGTCCTTAGTTTTTCTCTTCTTTTGAGTTGGTGGGATTATTGGGTGGGTGGGTTGTGTGCCAGTGCTCATGATCTTCCCCTGCAGGTATTACCTTTTATCCAGATGGAGACGATTTCAGCACAGTTGCTGAGTTGGCTTTCCTTGAGGCCCAAAAACTCTGCATTCTTTGTGATCATTTTCAGTGATAGATTCTTCTCTCCAAGATTTGTTAACCTCCCCCATGAGATAACACTCAGACAATAGCACCGCCTTTATCTTATCTCAAGCTCCTGATGTGGTGGCTTAATTTACTGTCCAAATTCCAGGTATGCACAGAGGTCTCTTCAGAGGGGCTTTGGTGATTATGGATTCCATCCATACCATAGCTTGGGGTGAGCTTTGTTTGACTGGTGATAAGCATATGAGCAGTTGCTTCTTGCAGAGCTTACCGCAGTGTGAATTTTTTTCTGGATGCATGGTCCAGGATGTATTACCCCAATCTCACCTCCACCAGGCCTAGAGTTAGTGCCATCCTGTCATTCCGTTCTGTGCTTATTTCATCTCATGGCAAAGTCCTTCTCCTTAACAGTGACCTTAACAGTGTTCAAGACAGACAATTGTGTTCTTTAAGGCATTGCACAAGATACAAACAATGAAGTGCTGCTTGATTTAATGTGTTTTTGGGCTTCAGAGGGTTTTGTCACAAAACGCATGAAATTAGTACTCTGTTTCTAAGCCAGACTATTGAATGCCTTTGCCTTATCAAGTTTAAGAGTCCACTTTAGTAGTCTGATATTGTACTGGATTATAAATATACAACTATATCTTTATGAAAGGTATATTCTCCCTCTAAAGATTCTTGTACCAAACTCCTGTAATTGTTCTTTTATCCATGAATGTCAGTGAGATTATAGAAGAGGTTACACTTACAGCTCAATGAAAGAAAAGATAGGCGCTTGGTTTGAAATCACAATAGCTAAGTGGACAACTATGCAGTTTGCTCCGAGGGTGTTTCTTTTTCATTTATCCTACTATGTTCTGCAGGTTAATAATGACTGTCAATCTATGGGAAACAATATATGTGATAGCATATTCTACTGAAGTGGTACAAATTTTCTCTGATGTCACTTCTGAAATTTCTGAGCAAAAGTGCATTTGTAATGCATGGATAGACATTCCTTTGCATGTCTTATCGTGTATTGACTTTGATGGGTTGCAGCTTCTGTTATTTACATGTCACTGAAAAATATGGTATTTTAACACAACATTGCACCTTTTAATGTGTTGATGCTAAGAAGAAGGCAATTCATGGTAAATAAGCATGCAACCTTATGTGCAAATCCCTTTTGCAGCAAAAAAAAAAAAAGCAGAAGAAAAATAAAGCCACAGCCATCAATCAAATAATAATTCAGTCTGGGACATGTTGTCCTCTTCTTTCAACTGGAGGTTTAACTGCCAGAGAGAAAAAGAAGCAGTGGACTTCTACAATGTTATCTGAAATAATTCTATAAAAAAATTGTGAAGATAAATGGTGCAGTTTGTCAAAGAAAAATGACAAGAATGATTAAACATAAGTACCACAATAAGTCTGTCCAGGTAGCTAGACTATTAAACATGGCTATTTTTTTAAAATGGAACTTGCATAAAGCCTATATAGTGATTGATTCAAAGTTGCATCATAAAGGAAAATAGTAAAAATCAATGTCAAGCAAAAATGAATGATAACTTAAAAATCATATGGGAGCCATGCTTGTTTGAAAATGAAATGTTGCAAAAGGTTCAAAAATCCATCAGTCCTTTAAGAAGAAATAAAATACAGAGTGTTTTCTTCAGAAAATATAAGACACATCTACCATAATTTCCAATACATCATCTATCAAAGGCATTTGTTAGTAATATATCACGAATATATTAAATTAAAAACTCCATTAAGTTTCAACATACTCCAGAAAATGGACAGCTTTGTTAAAAATTACCCTAAAAGCACAAGTACTGGGGGCTTGCAGCATACGCAATATATTGTGGCTCCAAATGATCTGTGGCATGGTGAACCAAAATCTGTATTGATAGAGTAGATGGCCTTGTGTTTTGTTTTCACATTTTTATGGGAATAAACACTCCTGAAAATGTGTATTTTAATCTAACCAAGTATTAAAGTATTAAACCAATCTATATACCATACTATTTGAAAAATGGAAGAAACAGCTATATTTCTTTAAAAAAGTAATACTGCTATATGAAGAAAGCTTGTAATATTTAATTCAATAAAGCACTTTCAGGGAAGACTAGTTGAAGAAATACAAATTTACCATCTAATCTTAATGTTACCAAGTTGTTTAAGTAAAAGTAAAGTGTTTAGAAACTTGAGTGAACAGTAAAGAAAGTCTATTTTAACTTGTATTTGCTACTCTGTATTTAGAGATTGTGTTTTTTCTTCTTTGGGGATGGTTTGAGAATATTTTGGTTGGTTGTGGGATATTTTTATTCTGTACTTGCAAAATTTTTAGGAGGAGAGTTTGTTGAAATACATGTATTGGCAGTTTTAGCAAGTTATTCTGAGTTTAGAGAAACTCTTAAATGTTGCTTGGGATTTGAAATAGTGATAATAATTTGAAACCACAAAGATATTGTAGTATTAAGATGGTGCCAGTTATTTTCCATACTGTCCTGTTTCCACATTCTAGAAGAGCTTCTGTGCTTTCCGTTTTTCTGGAAAACAAATTCAGTATTTGGAAAATTTACAGAATATGATGGAGTGTTCATTGCTTTTAGTCGGTCCCCAAAATGACAAAATGGTTGGAAAGTAAAAAGTGTCACAATAAAATGTGTTTGCCTGCTCTGAATCTGTACTGAGACATATCCATGGTGATGACTCACCAGGACTGTTTTAAGACAGTGGGGGGGACATTTTGAAATTATACTTTTGACTTCAGGAACTCTGAACCTCTATTATGTTTTTGAAAGATAAACTTAATTTTGTAGTCATTTGTATAAGATAGCTTCAGTAAACCCCCTGAAAATATTTCTCAAGATGATAAGATTCTGCAGCTTATGAGGCTATAACTACAAAAAAAGAAACAGCAAGCAAATAAAACCCACAAAATCCCAAAGCAAACAAGAAACCTACATACCACAAAAAAAAAAACCCCAACAACAACAAACCTACACTGCAAAAAAACAAAGCAAAACAAAACAAAACAACCACAAACCAGGATGAAACAAAACAAAAAAAAACCAAGAAAAAAATCCCACAAAAAACAACCATCAAAAAGTCCCTAAAGAAACTAGCTCTGTCACAGCACCATGCTGTGAACATGAGGATTTTAAATAGCAAGAGTCAAATTAAGATGAAAGTCTGGCAGTATTGCAATAAAAAGGAGCTGGGATAGATAATATAAAAAAATATCCAGATTTGAATTATTAATAATTAAAAATAATTTTCAAGGATTCATAATGTATTTTATTCCTTTATCATTTTTCATATTTTATCTTTTGTGTGTGTTCTGCTCACCTTGGAAGTGGTAAATGTGTTTGGTATGAGGTTTTTTTCCTATATTCTAAGGCACCTTCAGGTAAAGGCCAATGAAAGTTTTTTGCTACTATTTTTCTGTATCATGATCTATAGAGTTTGATTGTGATGCTGAATAATGATTAGAACCTCAGAAATACAATTTCTATTCTCTAATACTTTTTTTGTTAACATTTATACTCCTTTGACATTCACTTTAACTAGCTGCATGGTTTTATGAACACAGGTAGAGTGCATAATTGATTCACTACACAGAGAATTCTATTCAAGACATTAATTTCTTTAACAGGTATATTTTACATTTGTACTTAATCTTCATTGCATTTAATGTTTATTACATAAAAATAGAATTCCTTTGAAAATTATTTCAGTAAAAATATCTAGTGTTCTTATTATATATTCAGTTTGCAGTATAGAAGATGTGTTTTTAAAGATCTTTGAAAAATATTGGACCTAATTATCTGTTGGCTTAGATTGGTAGTTTCATTTTCTAATCATGTGCTAGTAATGTACTCTAAGTGCACAGTAGAGTTATAGTGAAGGGAATCTTTGTAATTTTGATATGGGCTATCAAATCTCTGATTTTGAGAATGACAACTTATTAGTTATAAAAATTGTCTTTTGTTACCTCAGAACCAACTAATTTTCTGGTTCCAGACCTGTCATCTAAACCTGTAGGGTTTTAAAGAATAAAAATTTTATCCAATCCCCTGGTGCTGTTAGAAAGGTGATGAACAATCTGGGGGGGTAGGGAATTCTGAATTACTTTTTTAATAAAATGATGACTAACAGACAAGGCTGGAAAATTGTTGAGTAAAAAAAAAAAAAAAAAAAATTCTTATCTTTCTAAGTGCTTTTGGGGGAATAAAAATGGTTGATGAATGAAATGTCTTCTTGTATTTGCAAAAAGTAACTAAAATAAAGCACCACTTCTTTCTAGCTAAGTAACCTGAAACAACTCACATTTGTGGATGTGTCAGCAAACAAGTTCCATTCTATTCCAATTTGTGTTCTCCGGATGTCTAATTTGCAGTGGTTGGATATTAGCAGCAACAGCCTGAAAGATCTCCCAGAAGACATAGACAGGTAGTTTATGTTTTAATTCAATGACAGGTATAGGAACTCTTTAGTGAATTTAGAAAGTAAAATCTTCCAAGGGACACTGTTGGTGGAACGTTACATTTGGAAATGTATCAGGTATTTTTGCATGCAAATATTTCTGTTATTGCTGGACTGCGTCTGAGAACAAAAGCTAATTTTACTAGCTCATCGACGGCGGTCAGTTAACAAAACATATTTTTTTGCTGCTTTCATAATAACTTGTTATTTTATCTAGACATTGGTTTTTTGGGAAGTTTACTGGATGTACTCTGTTTCAGTTCCAGCACAGGGAACTCACCATATGGAATTGGCAGCAGTAACTCTCTGGAGGGTAGATGGGAAGGAGAAGGTGAACTAAAGCATACTTAAGTTACTCAAAGAGCCTGATAAACTTTATTAGTAAAGAAGAAAAATATTGGTAAAATTCGAAAACCCCCTTGAAAATCCTCCGCTTCTACTCTGAAGTAAATACAAATGTGTGCACTCATTCTCCCAGTTTAAATAACCACTTTGAGTTAGTTTATAAAAAATCATTCTGATCCCTTTGATGGGACTTGCTGCCTGAGAAAGCACTTTTTTTATCCCTAAGCTTAACTATTCACTCTAGAGTGCTGCGGCAACTTGGTTTATGAAACTTTACTTAGCCTTAAGTAAAAAAAAAAAACAAACATATTAATTAAAGTTTATTAAAAAAATATTCAAGATTATTTATTTATCTGGGAATAGAAATCCCTGAGGCAGAATAAACTTCACAGAAAACTCATTCACCTCTAACTTTCGCAAGGCCTTTTTTTGCTGGGCAAAAAGACTTTTCTGGGACATGGTGTAATCACAGATTATTCTGACAGCAGCACTGGTCTTAACTTGTGTTAGTAATTCACAACAAAAAACAAAAGCTTGCTGTTTTTTTTCCCAGGGGATCTGACCAGAGACTTAACTAACTTCAAAGAGTTCCTAAGAGGATATTTTTCTTTTAGGGAAGGATACCCTCTCAACTTGTAGAACTTTTTTGCCCCTGTAACCTATATTCCCTTAGCTTCAAATTATTCCCTTTTCACATTTTTTCTTCTCCATTTTGTACTGAGCTGTCAGATTTGATGCTAGAATATCATAATAATACAAAAAAAAAATAAGGTTTTTTTTTGTTTGACTTTGGGCTCATGTGCATTCAGAAGACTAAAAAATGTCAAGATAACCCCCACATCAGTAAACTAATACTCTCATTCAGACTCATGATTTCAATGCCTGTGGTGTCAATGAACCTCTGTGAATTATCATTGTCTGTAATATCATTACGATAGTCTGTAATTAATAAAGATGAGTTGACAGTAAACTGAAGCCTTACTTAATATTTTCACCTGAATTCAAACAAACCGCATGGGCCTGATAAGCATAGCCTGCCAACAGTGTCTTAGGAATGGACCCTTACAGTCAAATAAGACAAATTTGTTTCATCAACTTGCTATGCTCTTTGTCTTCTACCTAATACAAGGAATAAAGGCACAGACACAAATTTCTATTGCATTAGGAAAAGCCAGGGGAAATAATACAGAAGTTCCTCACAAAACACTGTCATTAAATTGATTTCATTGGGACAACTTGCAAGAACCTTTTGACGAGGAGCTGGTCTTTCTCTTGTTCCCCACAGTATTAATTACTAGTGAAAAACAATAGATGGAGATGTACTGCCTACCACAGACATACCTAATTCATAGAAACCAGCATATGGACAAAAGTGTGACCTGGTGGCCTGTATTTTTCATTAGTTGCAGGATGCACATGGTGAGGCTTTATATCATGCTCTGTCCACATTTTCTGTATGAAAACACAGTCAATTTTGTAACCTTTTATCTTGAGCTTGCTTCTGATTACTTGTCAGAGGTGTGCTATTAATACTGTAATGCTGACCCAGTACTGAAGATTTCCATTAAAGTTGATGAAATTTTGTAAAGTAGTGTTTGAGTGACTTTTTAAGACAAAGATGTTGCATGCAACTGCTCTTATTATGCACAAGATCAAGTCAGTATTACTATCTTGGCTAGATGTTGCTATTTGAAATAAATAATTTATGTCATCTCTATCTTTGACATCTTTACAGGTTAGATGAATTGCAGACGCTCCTCCTACAGAAAAACAAGTTGACTTATCTTCCACGAGCTCTTGTCAATATGCCAAAGCTCAGTTTGCTAGTTGTCAGTGGTGATGACCTGGTTGAGATACCCACAGCCATCTGTGAGTCAACCACAGGTTTAAAGTAAGTAAAAGAGAGAGAGAAAGGGAAATATTCTTAAGAAAATAAGGTAAGATACACCCAGAAGAAATGCTTTCACCAGCATGTTTCTAGAAATTCTGACCTAATTTATATCAGAGTGATAAAGGAGGCACTGAGAAGATTGGAAATTACAGAGGATCTGCAGTTTCATGATTTTCATCTACCAGTTACCCACATTGTGCATCTCTATGTCTAAACTGCTATTCCTGGTTAGACTGGGTCATAGCAGCTCTAGCTCTGGAGTTGCAAAACCATGCTTCAGAGTGGGACCAGTAGCCTGGAATCTAGCTGCTGATAACCTCCGTGATGACAAAAGCATCTTGCTGGGAGAGGGAGACATGGCTAGGAAAATGTTAGGTAAGGTCACAGTAGTTCTTTGCTGTGAAATACCACCTTACTGCTGCATGCAGGATAAAACTAAAAGAACTAAATTGTATTCTGCAGTTACAGAGATACTGCATTTCTGCAGGAATGTTCATGTTTTTGATTATGGAACCATTTCAGACTCTATACTGGGTCTGGCTCAGAGTGGAGTTAGCTGTGGATGGAATGTAATTACCTTTCCTCTCTTAGAGCTATTCCTTGCACTGGTAGCTAGAAAGGTGTTGATAACACATCAGTGTTTTTAGCAGTTGCTGAACAGTGGCGGCACGTCATCAAGACTGTCTCTCCAACCGTTCCCTAAGAAAGCACTGTAGGCTGAAGGTGAGCCAGAGGCTGGGAGGGGACACAGCCAGGACAGCTGGGGACACCAGCCAGAACAGTTGACTTCAATTGGCCAGCTGGATGTTTTCATACCATGTGGTGTCATACTCAGCATATAAAGCCAAAATAAAGAAGAGGGGTGGTGGATCATGTGTTATTGAAATTTTTGTCTTCCAAAGAAACCAGCTACATATACTGAGTCTCTGCTTCTTAGGAAGTGGCTAAACATTACCTGTTGAAAGTAAAGAGTAATTTTTTTGCTTTGCTTTTCTTTTCTTCTATGCCTAGGTTTTACTTTTTTCATTAAGCTTATCTACAATTTTTTCATTTGCTATTCTCCCTTGTGTAGTTGAAGAGAGGGGCAGAGAGAGGTGTTTGGTGGGTACCTGGGCCAAAGAGGTCAGCTGATCACAAACTTACAGCAATTCATCAGAATTTTAGAAAACCATATGATTTCTTGTAAAATTGGTTCTTTTGAAAGTAACAACTTTTAAAATTTTTTTCTTTCTTGGAGTGAAAATCAGAGATTTTCAGAATACTATGCACTTATTTGCACATGATATAAGTTGTTTATTTAGCCCCTTAGTTTTTCACCTGGAAAGTGTACCTTTATAATATTTTCAATTTCAAAGTAATGCATGCCCTGTCATATATTGTAATAGATGAGTAATGCAATAACCAAAAAATGGAGGCACATATTGCAGCTAACAGATTCCGGCAAAATTCCAGATTGCTAGGCAGTATTGTTAGGATGAAGTTCACATTGCTCATTAACAGATGGGGAAATTACAGTGTAGTTGGTCAGAAGCTCCGTAATAAAGAGCTACACCTGTTATTACAAAGAACAATTTATGTAGATAGATGGAAAAAAGATAAACCTGATCATTTTTATATGGAAAGTGGATTACAGAGAAAGTTCCTTTTGAAATCTGTATTTCTGTAGTAGATGTATATCATGCAAAATTGAGATAATGTTCTTTACATTTCTGCTTCTGGCTCTGGTAACAATTTCTAAACTGTCATTCATGATGGCCAGTGATGTTCAGCTGCCTGCATGTACATTTGTGTGTTAATCTCTGTCTAGATTTGTAAGTCTCAAGGACAGTCCGGTTGAAACAATTGTATGTGAAGACACTGAAGAAATTATAGAAAATGAACGTGAACGTGAGCAAGTTGAGAAAGAGTTTATGAAAGCATACCTTGAAGACCTAAGGGAAAGGGGTATGTGTAAATTTGCAGTAAGCTTTCTGCTATCTTGAATATAAATGCAGACAGATATTATGACCATTCATTTTTAAGAGGACAAATAATACACCCTTAAACTCCAGTTGTCTTTTATGGTATTAAATAAGACTAATCGTGAAATGCCAAATCTGCTTTGTTAAAAGTTTGGATCCTAATGAAGACCCTTGATATTGAAAAAATGTATACAAAATTAATTGTGTTGGTATATGCCTTAACCTCAATTGATTGATGGTGTAGACAAAGAATATTCTCATTCTCTGGATTTACTTACTTCTCTTGGGATTAGTATTAGTGATTTTGAATTCCTAAAGAAGTGCTTCTCTTCCTCAAAAAGATCAGTATATATGTGGAAGCCTCATCATATTGGTAGAATATTCTTTGACAATATTATCTGCTTCAGGGTACTAACTGTTTAACCACTGTACAATTATAGTAAAATACCTGCTTTTATCTTTATTACATAGCACCCACAACTTTACATATTTCTTCGTGTTGCTGTTCTGTTTTATATTTACTGTCACTGAGAAATCTTTGTTCTCTTGAGTGTTCTTTAATAAGATTTGTTAGGAAAAAGGGGAAAGTTTCCTGTGAGACAGGGTACTCCATAGGCTTATTTTAATTCCTTTAATATTTTGTGTGTAGAAAGGACTTTTTGTGGAATAAATCTTGCAGTAGATTTTCATTGTGTTTAATTTAAGTGGTCTATATAGTCGGCCTAAAAAACCTGTTAAAAGAGAAATATAAAGAAAGGGTGTGACTTCACAATACGTTTCATGTTCTCATGCTGGACTTCTGTTCCTTAACATCTATAAGTTGTGGATATGAATATTCATTCTGTCTATTTCTAAATTAAAGTCTGCTATAAAAGTGCTGGATTTTGATAATGGTAACACTGGTGGTTAAAATGGAGAGAACAATGCAATGGGGGAAAATCTTAGGTCATAATTTGGCTTTAGAGACGGCCATAAAATATGTAGTGATGGAGTTGTGTCTACAGTCTTAGGAAAGGTAGAGGTCTGACTGGCTGCCTGAAACCTCCATTTGACCCTACTGAAAACAGGCCAGGTTTATGCTCTTGTGGGGCAAAGCTGCTCAGAGATGCAGTTCTCTTCCTTCCTGGACAGAACTTACTTCACTGTTTTTTTAAGAAGAGTTTGGATCATTAATCACTTTTGTATTTCCTGCTTCTGAACTTTTATGCTATTGACAATGCCAATACCTGCTTTTGAAAAACAGACTGTAGAAGGAATATCTTCTATAAAATATGAACTTGCAGAATCTCTGAAGGACAGCACAGAGATAATTTGCAAAGTACCTTTGAAACAAGACCAAACCTAGCTGTTTCTAGCTAATGACTTCATTTATTTGTGCTGGATTACATAGCTAAAGTCTGAGATTTATTTCTTTTTTCTCTTTTTGCAGAGTCTACTCCTTCCTACACTACAAAAGTAATGCTCAGTCTCCAGCTCTGAAGATTAAAAATCTCTAGATCTCTACTGAATATCTGAATAACTCTGTTTATATCCACCTGAATAGTAAACCCATGAAAATATAGATGGCCAGAATGATATCAAAATCATATTGAATTATTTATTTGTTTCTGTAGGCTTTTCAAGTAACTACAGATAAAACAAGGAGTGGTAGAACCTTCATAAGATGCCGTTTCACATTTTAAGTCAACATGTTTATTTTCAAGTTCACAGCAACAGCCACTAATTTGCATGTAGACCTGCTGAAAGTAAATATTCATTTTGACTAAGTATACACAGGCATAGCTGAAGAAAGAAGACATTCAATGTTGTAGCTGAAACAGTGAAATGCAAAATGTGATCTTAGGAAGAGATTTGATTTTATAAAAGGGGATAAACTGATTTAGAAAATGAATGTGATCTGTTGTTAAGACCAAATACACATTTAGGTATTTACAATATTGAAATTAGAACACACCCATAGTTTGCTTTTCTGCAAGAAAATTATTCTTGGAATTTTCAGTTTAGATAAGTTTCAACAATGTTACATATAGAAGCTGTAGCACTTCTTTTATTCAAGCATATTTTAAGCTCTAACGTGTTTGCAAAATCAAGTACCAATGTGATTGAGATTTCTGCACTAAGCAGTCTTGTAGTAATAGTTGTGTACTACGTAAGATTTTAAGGCACTTAGTGGTGTCAGTTAATACTATCAGTAAAATGATGATACAGGTATTATATTAATGGTTTCAGATCACAGGATTTTGTGGACATTTGTTGGAATTTTCCAAGTAGAGTAAGAATGAGTTTGCTAGTAAAACATTATTTTGCTTGCTATTTAATTATCTGTTTATATACAATTATTTAAGTGTACATCGAGTAGAGTTTCAGAAACCTAGTTTTACATGTATTTTTTATTTAATAAAGCAATCTTTTTAATCTAAAAAACTTGAGACTTTGAGAATTGAGAATCAAATTAGACTCAAATTACAGAATTTAAATGGTCTTAAACTTATGAGTGCAGTTAAGTGAGACAATATTTACATCTTTTCTTTTTGTTATGGGTGATCTATTTTGAGTTTTATGCAGTAGAATGTCACTTAAGTAGCCATATTTTAAAAAAAAAAAAGCAATGAAGGATATGATCCTCAGGCTTCCATATAGAAAAATAACTTTAGATGTTTTCTTTTCAACATTCTAGCATTCAAACTTTTAAAAGAAAAAACATTTTAAAGAGTGGGTGTGTTATTTCCTCTTGCAGTCTTCTTTATATTACTATCAAAATGAAACCCATTCAAAATTGTCTGTATATGTTAATGCAGATTTTAAGCAAGTTCTGATCCAGGGAGAAGTTAAAAATTAGAAAAATTGGCATTGATCTGAAGCAGAATAATAGAAGACTTTTTTTTTACCATCAAGGACAAATTGAAATAGGATAAAATAGTGTCAAATTGGTCTGTGTGAATTAGGCTATGTGAAACTAACCTACCACACTTTCTTTTATTGAGATTATAAATTTATTTTATTGATATTGATGCAATAAACTTCTGTAAGACATCTGCTCTGATATTGGTTACAATTCTATTTCTAGAAGTCTCTCATAGTCTAATATGATTCATATGATAATATGAAAATTATAGGAATGGAAATCACAAAGGCTGTGTTTATAGAATGGAGCTGCAACTACAAAAAACTAGGGATGCAAACACAGATAACAAAACAAAAGTAACAGTGCAAATTCTACTATCGGCAGTATTGGATACATAAACAGAAAATACATGAATAGAGAAGTCGTATTAGTCCTTAGCATTGCCACTAATCTTACTCAAAAATTTTTTGCTGTTCACAGATAAGAGTGCTAAAAATAATTTGGAGACAGAAACAAAAAATCAGCATAAATAAAATCCATGCATTTTTAAGTTCATTGAACAGCATTGTTCACAAGGCCATTTGCTTGTCAATATTTTACATGCAAGACCGCTGTCTAGAAGCTGGATGTTTTAATGCAGCAGGCAAACAAAAGGCAGAAGACTAAAACTTGAATTCACATATCTGAATTAGAAACAAAAGGTCTGTTTTTCCATAAAAGTAACCATGAGATTATTTATAAAACACAAATTATCAATCACCAGCAATATTTAAGTTCAGGTTAACATGTTCCTAAAAAAAAAAATCTGTAACAATTAAGTCATGGAAAATGCAAATGCAGGGGGTCCAAATAGTATTCTCCAACTTGACTTCAGACACCTTTCAATCCAAATTTCATGGAATCACAGATTGATTTCAGTTGGAAGGGACATTCAAAGGTCATCTGTCCCAATCGCTCTCTCACAGACAGGGACATTTTTCATTAGATCAGGTTTTTCAAAGCCCCATCCAAGCTGACTGGGAGTATTTCCCTTGATGGGCCACCCAAAACATCCAGTGACTCACCAATGTTGTCATAGAGAATTTCTTCCTCAGATCCAATTTAAAACTAAAGCTACCCTATTTCAGTTTCTTACTGAAACTTATCCTTTGTCCTGTCACTTAAAATCCTGCTAAAAATGTCTTTCTCTAATGTTCTCATAAGCTTATTTATATTGAATAGCTGCAATAAGACTTCTTTTATCCAGCCTGAACAACCTCAACTCTCTCTGCCTTTCCTCAAAGGAGAGGTATTTCAGCTCTTTCCTCAAAGAAGAGGGGTTTCAGTGATTTTTGTAGCCCTCTTCTGGATCTACTCTAACAGGGTACTCTAACATCTTTCTTTTGCTGAGAATGATGCAGTACTTCAGGTGGAGTCACAGAAGAGAAAAATAGAGACTCGCCTCCTTCGACCTGCTGGCCTTGCTCCTTTTGTTGCAGGATAGGGCTGGTTTTCTGGGCTGCAAGAACACATGACTAGCTCATGGTCTATTCTACATTCATTAGTGTCCCCAAATCCTCCACAGGGCTGAAAGCTTTTATTCCTACCTCTTCTAGAACATTACATCCTGAAATGTTATCCATAGATATAATTTTTTTTTGTCACTGTTGTTAACAGTAACTGTTGAGAAATACCTTTGTTTTAAGGGGAAGATGGAGTACGATGGTCTCCGTTACACTAAAGATGTGCAGTGGGTAATGCCAGCTGCCACCTGTTACTGAAATACCTAATTTCAGCATTATTTCATTTGAGTCATACTTCCATGTCCTTTACATATTTATCATACGATGTTAAATATAACTTTATCAGAGTCCTCCAATGTAGTAAAAAAATATGTATATCAAAAGGTACCTAATTTTGAATTAGATCTAATTGTACTGCTTTTCTAACTGTTTTACTAGCAATTATACTTTAAACTATTATCTTTCATTAGGAAACAATACTACTAAAGAGAATTCTGTTATCAGCATGTTTAATACTTTTTCAATTTTTGAAAGTGAATAATTTTATGAATGACAGCCATTTTGTGTACAATGAAAATTTCTGTTATTTACAAGCTTCTGATGTCAGGTACTTAGATACCTGACGGAAAACAATGTGCTTTTTCTTCCGCACTGCATTTTCTACATCTGCCAAACACTACACCTCCTAAAACCCAACACCCTGTTCTACTTTACAGGTAACTGCTATTTCAAAGCAGCAAAACTGGGAGGAATTGAAGTGTGTCTTTTAGAATACTCATGGGCTCAATGTGCAAAAGTAAATCAGAAAATCATATTTGATTTTGCTTCTTTTCATTATTCTGTATTGTGGCCTTGTTTCTAAGGATAGCCAGGAAGACAAACTTATAAGGATAGCAAATAACCTCATATTTAATTAATGAATGTCTAGGAATAACATAGTCTTACATCAGATATTGGCTTAGTTTACAGTTAACACTGTACAATACATTCTTTTTTTATTTTTCCCCTCTTGAGCATTTATGAAACATCAGAATTGATTTACTGTGTTTACTTTCTGCAATGGAAGCACCAAGCAAAATGAAAAATTGAATGGCTTTTTCTTGAGGAGGTAGGCTCTAGGTCCTGGTTTGTGCAAGATTTCATAGAATCATAGAATGGCTTGGGTTGGAAAAGACCTTGTAGATCACTTAGTTTCACCTCCCTCTGCCATGGAAAGGGACAATTTCCACTTGATGTGGTTGCTTAAAGCTCTACCCAGCCTGGCACTGAACACTTTCTCTGAACACAATTTCTCTGTTCCAGTGACTCATCATACTCAGAGTAAAGAATTTCTTCTAATGTTTAATTTAATTCTAATATAAATTTTGAAATGGTTCCCCATTTGACCTAAAACCATCAGACTGCATAAAAAATAGCTTTCCCTCTTTTTTTAAGTCCTGTTAATATAGTGCAAGTTTGCCATAAGATCTCACCAAAGTCTTCTGTTCTCCAGGCTGCAGAAACCCAGCAGTCTCAGCCTGTCTTCATAGAAGACAACCCTCTGCTTGTGCTTATGGCCCTCCCAACAGGTCCACATCTTTGTTGTGCTGAAGACCCCAGAGCTGGATGCAGCATTCCATGTGGCGTCTCACAAGGGCAGGGCAGAGGGAGAAAATCACCTCCTCCAACGTGTCAGACATGCTGAGTTTGATGCAGCTCAAGACACATCTATTTTTTCTAGGCTGTTAGTTCACACTATTTACTCATGTGCAGTATTTCATTCACCACAACTCCCAAGTCCTCATCAGGATTGCTCTCAATGAATTCTCCATCTGTGTTCACATCTGGGATTGCCCTGACCCAGGTGCACCACCTTGCACTTTGCCCTGTTGACTCTCATGAGGTTCTCATGGGCACATTTCTCAAGATCGTCCTGGTCCTTCTGGATGGCATCTCATTCTTAGGTGTGTCAACAATTCCACTCAGCTTTGTTTCATCTGCACCCTTGCTGAGGGAGAACTTGGCCTCACTGTGTAATTGAGACAGACATTGAGGAGCACTGGTCCCAGCACAGAGCCCTGAGGAACATCACTAGTCATCAGTTCCACCTGGACATTGACTTCAATTCTGTGGATGTGTCTGTCCAGCAAACTGTTACCTACTAAGCAGCCCACCCTTCAAATTCATGTCCAATTCGAAGACAGTTGGTCTTCATTTGGAGGTAAGGATGTTGTGTGGAACAGTGTCAGAGAAGTCTAGATAGATGACATTGGTCAGTCTTTGTCAACCATTGCAGTTACTCCATCACAAAAAGCCACCGGTTTGGTCAGGTAAAATTTGCCCTTAGTGTTGTGGTTATAGAAAAAAAGGGATGTAGTTTCTGGGGCTGTTTAACTCCATACTACCCACATTATTGTGGGGCCTTGGTTCGGCTGGGGCAGAAGCAGAAGGGTTGTTATCTTTATCTTAAGGACTTGAGGGCTTGAGGGAGGGGGTGTGGAGTTTTCAGGGTCAGCCCAGCTCATCCAACCCCTCTCTACTATTGGCAGTCCTTGTGCTGGCTGCCTCAGATCACTTCCTTGTCTTTCATGTGCCTTAAGATATTTTCTAGGAGGATCTGCTGCATGATCTTCTGAGGCACAGAAGTGAGACTCCCCAGTCTGCTGTTCTCTGTGTCTTCTTTTCTCCCCTTTTTAAAAATAGGAGTGATGTTTCCTTCTTTCCAAGCACTGGAGATTTCACCTGGTCACTTTGACTCTTCACATAGGATGGAAAAGTGCTTGGCCAACAGTATGATCACTCAGGACCCCAGATGCATGTCATCAGGTCCTGTAAACTTGTGATTATTCAGCTTCACCAAGTGATCTCAAACCTGCTTTTCACTGACAGTAGGAGAGAATTCACTCCCCCATCCCACCTAGATGTTCGGGGACTTAAGAGACATGGGATGTCTGGTGATGGCAGAAGGTTGAAGCAAAGAGCTTTTTGAGCATTACATCCTTCTCCATACCTGTTGATATCAGATTTCCCTTCTCATCTACCAGAGATGGGAGTACACTCTCCTTGGAATTTATTTTCTGGCCTACATAGATATAGCCCCTTCTGCACTGGAGTTCTCTTCACCTTTCTGGAGAATCCTTTCCTAATTCCTTGCTCATGATTTACAGGTATTTCTTTGCTGTTTCCTGGAAGTGCTGTTGTTTTCTTCTTCCTCTCCAACACTTGGAAATATATCCCTTTCCCTTGCTGAGTATGGTTTAAAGCTCTGTCAAGAAGTCCAGCCAGTTCCTTCCTAGAACATGCTCATCTCACCCAGTCAGGTGAGCCCCATTGACTGTCTGCTGTTTCTTAAGGGTGCATACTAGATCATAGAAGCCAAAACCCTGAGCATGGTACCAGCCATGCAGTCAACCATTCCCTTGATCCATTCATCTTCTTTCTGGGTCCCCAGTCTCCAGCTAGGGGTTTAGAGGAGAACACTACCCATGGTTCTGATCCTTTCAACATCTCTCTGAAGGATGTGAAGCCTCTTTTGATGTTTTGCAAACTCTTTGTTGCAGCCTAATTTGGCCCTGTGTAGAAGAGTAGGAGTGCATGGTAGTCCTCTGGTTTTACGAGGTGTGACAGCCTCTTTGTGACTTTGAGAATGTGAGCCCCCAGTAGACAGTAAACCGCTCTAGAGAGGTCCAGATGGCAAATGGGTACTT